AAAAAAAAAAAGAGAAAACTGATAATCTGGGTTTACCGCATCAGCGTAAGGCTCCATTTCTTGAATTCTACTGCAAAGTCAGGAAAAATGCAGATCTTTTATAAGCCTTTTGTCGTTAAAACTAGAAGTAAATCGGGTTTTGATATGGATACGACTATTACCATTTAGGAAAGTTAAATCAATGCGAGAGAGAGAGAGAGACAATGTTTATAAGTTTCAGAATATTTATTTGCTTTATTTAAATCAATTCATTTCTACATTTGTATTAATTTACCAAAGTTATTCTATCTTTTCGAGTATTCTAAGATATGACAACTTCAAGAAACATATGCGAGATTAGATATACATGTCACAAGTCCGGTAGGAAAGTGGGAATGTCTGTCACATCTCTACTTTATATAATTCTCTCAAATAGTGTGTAGTTGTGCTAAATTTAGGAATCGTAAAATTTCCCGTTCCTATGCTGCTTCATTTCGCATCACATCACACTGTCTCAAATATATACTGCTACTCGGGGAGGAACTTTAGCATATTAACACCTAACATCTAAAAGGGCGTATAATAGAAATAAAAATGTAAAAAAGGAGAAAGAAACATGATGGAACAATTAAACAATCATATCATAACCATTTTACAAAACCCATTCTACCGAAGCAGATTTAGGTTTGCAAAATCCAAAAATCAGATTTAGGTTTGCAAAAATCAGTGGTTGAATGATAGTTTGATTGCATATATTAAGAATAATGTATTTGACAATATTGAAAATGATGTAATTATGGAACATTATCAACGTATGAGAACGCGTAGAGAACAATTGCAATAATATATCAAATGCCTTAGTTTTTTCACAATTTTTTGTAAGTTTGATTGTGATTCTCAACTCAAAATGTCTGCCACTACAGACACCAAAAATAGTAATGAATGTCGTAGTTAGTCTCATTTTATTGCCATCCTTAGCTAAATTCTTCATTAACTTCTCCATCGTGTCTCCGCATTGTGATGTGAGAATTAACTTATTAAAGCACATTTGGCTAAGATTGAAATGTTTACTTAAAAGCAGGAGTGGAGAAAGAGGAGGGTTTAAAACAACGATTGGGTAAAAACCTATGTAAAAAAGAATTCACTTAAAAAATCAATTTTTTTCGAAAACCGGTTTCTTGGGCAGGGATTAAAACACAAGTTTTCCCAAAATTCCACCCTCGCTAAAACTAAAAAATAAGTGGAAATTATACCCACCCATAATTTTTAACTTCCAATGTCAAAAATAAGATTGAAAAGTTTTTGGTACAAGAATCAGGTGATAATTCAATTTTTTAATATTAAATATTAATATTATAAAATTAAATTAATCTACATACCCACCCCATCCCATTTCACTCCCTAATTCATTTTCTTCTTCCTTTTCTTTTCGTCATTGGCACTGACACTCATAGCGTTAAACGTCGCTGTAGCAGCACTGTGAGGAAGTGTGGCAACAATCTGAGCGTCGTGCTTACACGCTGTACGCAACACTTAGATCTGATACTGCAGTAGCGATCACTTCCCTACACAACGATCAGGGGCGCTCAGATCTGAATAATAAGATTGATGTGCAATAATAAGATTGAGGTGTTCAATTTATGAGAGAGGGGGAAGGGGAGAGAGAGAGAGATTTGAAAGATAATTTATTATCATATCACCAATATTCCATCATTATGATGATAAATATTATTACTCAAAAAATATACGTTGTAAAAAATATATTCTTGTCTATTGAGTAAGGATGTGCTGTGCACGAGATATTTTGTGGCTAGATTCTTGTGGTAATGAATTTGCGTACTTTCGATCTAAGTAAGGTAGTATTTTAAAGGATAATTAACACAAAACATTTTCATCATTTGTACTTATTATTCAAATTGTTCTTATCATTTCAAACTTGATATTTGTACCCCTTATTTCATCATTTTCTTCTGGAGTCAATATTTTCCGTATCATTCCTTAAATTTCTTCCGTCAAATATGAATAATTAGAGCAAAACATCTCATCGGTTGCCTTTATTGCGCAAATCATTTCTAGTATTTTAATTTTGGCATTTAAACCATTGGATCAACATTTCTTGACGCAAAATGTCCTTACGTTCTATTTTCTCCATCATATAACAAGTAAAACACCAATAGAAGCAAAAATAGCAAACTAAATGCAGCTTGTACTTGCTCTGACCTCCAAGTAGTTTCGAGAAAGGATTATTGTCGAAGTACATAAAACCTTTGATAATTTTCAGATTCCTCAATAGGACCAAAATTCACTTATTATAGTAACAAATAATACCCGAAAGGTGAAAGGAGAAACATAAAAGAAACAGCAAAGGGAAAGGACTTCCAAAACTTATGTTGCTAGTTGTTGGAAAAATTCTACTGAAGGCGCCTCCTCTCAAACTGCGACTCGTGACAATGCGGGTCGAGCCAATCTCTAGGAGAACTCTTTGAAGTGTAGAAGGACATTTTTTCACCACCCACAAGCTCTCTCAAGTTATCAACCTTATTTTCCCGCCCAGTTCCAATGTATTGCCTATCACCTTCCTTGAGTTTCTGTTTGAACCTCTGCTTGCGGTTAGAAGAATTCAGCTCTTGGAGCTTCGATTGTGATGGTGGGGCTCCGTGAGGTCCGAGATATATCTTCTCTTCTTTGCTAACCTACCAAACGTGATTCATAAACAGATCGATGTACTTCACTAGTCTGTTCAATACCCACATTTTTGTTTCTTATGCCGCTGAATAAAAAAACTAGGCCGCTTTACCTGAACTGTGGACGGTTTAGAATCTTCTACTTTTGGAGAGTCAGTTTGATTGAGGTCTTGATCTCCAATGCCCAAGCTTGGAATCACATATCCATCAGTGTCTAGCAAAACACAGTAGAGAAAACAAGGTCAATATAATGAATTTTCAATTATGCAATTGCCTGGAGATTTAAATCAACTGCATTAACAGCATGCACCACCACCTCCGAACAAAAGACAAGATATTAATCTAGTTGTTAAATTGTCAAGCATCATAAACATGAATTGTTTTCATTTCAACTAAATAAAAGGAAAAATTTTGGTAATCAGTAAACCTACGCTGGCTGCGTAATTACTTTGAAAGGTCGATCAATTTGCACTAAATCAAACTACACACAATTGCTTCAGAGCTGACTAAAATGACTAATGAGCAACCAAAACTCCATGTACATAACCCAGCAGTGGAACAAATGTTGCACACTAGCAGACCCTACTCAGTACTTTTAGAGATTTTCAAAATCAGTTAACCTAGTACTCAATAGGGCTTATGGTCAAACTGAAAATATTAGTCGCTAATTTCTTCTTCCGATATGATATTTGACATTTCTTCATGAATTTATATCCGGCATAATAGGACTATGGATTAGTAACAAAGTAAGGTCCATCACTTGCATAAAAAGTTTTAATCCATACCCCTTCCACGTGGGTGAAACAACGAAAAATTTACCGATTTAATATTTTTTCCACAATACCGGAAACCATGTGAGTTTATTCATCATACCAGAAGGTTGTAACAAGTAGCTTCATCCGTAAATGCACCAGCCTATCTAGTCTAGTACATATAAATGCAAAAGCAAACAAAAATTTTGTTTATAATAAAAAAACAAAAACTATAATACACAGCTATGCAAATATCTAATCAAACACATTGGCTTGCTCCTGAAATTTAAGAAGTATTAATATATGCTACTTTAGCTCGTTCTTCTATCATTTACCTAATTTAGATGCAAGCTTCAGAAAAAAACTTGTGATGTGATTCAAGTCCCTAAAAAGCCTTTACCAACACTAAATCCCTAAAATCACACTCTCTTTTAAACCGAATGAATTAAATAAGAACAAAGCTGAAACTGAATGAACTTTAAACTAACATGTAGTATTTAATTAACCATGTTAGCCGTGTATATTAGAAATTTCATCATTCTTATTCATAAAACTCAATCCCCCACCATAATTTAACATCCAAATTAGTAGGAGCGTTGTCTCTAGATAGAGTATACTTATTAACATTTGGAATTCATTGTGTTTGGACCATGATTGGTTTACTTCAATCATATCTTCGTGGTATGCTTAAAATCCCAAATTGCAAGTAGAAAAATATCATATATTTAGATGAAAAAAAGGCTTAAGACAATTGCTAAGAGACTCTCTAAACACAAAATAATCTCTATTTTAGAGTCAATACTTAACAATAAGCTCCAAGCTCCAAGACGCCCTCTATTTTAAAAAGTTCTTAAAATAAAGAGTGGGGTTAGCTCTCTAAATTTGGAGAGCCAAACCAACCCTCTATTGTTAATTAACAATTATTGCATTTAATAAGTTACAAATTTCAATACTCTACAATTTAAATTATTCAAATCACATTTAAATTGTATGGTCGTTGACATATAAAAAATTCTATTCAAGAAAAGATGAGGAGAAATCAATAAACGTTCAAATGGAAAAACACAGTAGCGGACTGCATAAAAATGATTTACTCCCTAAATTTAAAGATGCTATCTATTATGGATATGATGCTCTTTAAATATAGAGACACTCTTGGAGATGCTCTAACATGCCCAAATTTCATTTTTTTTTTTTACTAGATAAAAAGGCTTAACATTAATGGCAAGTATAAAACCTAATGCGAACAGGATTACTAATTTCTTATTTTTCATCAAATGTGAATCAAAATTAGACCCCAAATCCATGCTGATAAACCTAATGCGAACAGGATTACTAATTTAATCGCAGTGAACAAAAACAAACAGACCAAAAATCAAAAAGAGTACCTGAATCAATCCCGAATAGAAACAGAACAATTTTGAATTAATTCAAATAAGTTAAAAAAAATTCTTAATTTCGATGAGACTCAAATGCAAAAGACTGAAAAGCGAATATACCCCACTCGTCTTCTTCAATGGAAGGAGTGGAATGCACTGGAGAGGATTCCATGTGATGCTGATGATCATGGATTTGAGTGCTGAGTTGATAATTCGATCGAGTCTCCACCACCAGCACCGCTATGAATTGACTCGCTCAAGAAAATTCAAGGCTTCAACGAGAAAATCAACAATTGGAACCGATTAAAAAGAAAGCCCTAGAAAGATCTATTCCTTCTACCTTCTCAAATGGCACCTGAACTTTTGACTGCGTTTCTTATAGGTACTTAAACTTTTAATTCTCCCTCATCCATGCCCGAACTTCTAAGGGCTTGTCTGGTGGCACTAGATATCAAAATTTCAACCGTTGAAAAATCAAAAAACGAACCGTTGTTGCATTTCTTAATGGACAAAATCTGACACCTTTGCAGTTGAGGGACAGCTCATTTACACCCATTTTCCAATTTTACCCCTTTGCAGTAGAGAACCTTGAGACTTTGCACATGTGATGAGGCTGAAATTGTCTTTTTGTGTTCAAATTCACACCAATACTTTAAATGGTGGCAGAAAGTGGGACCGCCTGAAATTCTCACCAATACTTCAAATGGTGACAAAAAGTGAAACCGCCTGATGTGACCCAAAAATTGATTTTGGTTGGGGAAAATTTCTCCCAAACACACTCTAAATATGTTTTTATTTTATACCTCTCACTTAACCTGACATTTCTTCTAGGTACCCAAACTTTCAATTTTCTCAATCCATACTCGAACTTTTAAATATATTTCCCATTCATAATTAATTTTTCTAGTCGTTGACAACTAATGGTTCAAATAAACTCTACAAATCATATTCATTTTACCGACTCAAATAAATTTGATTTCATATTAAGTTTACTAGTTAATCAGTTATGATCTCGTTTGCTACTGAATTTGGTTGAAAGAGGATATTGAGAATATATGGAGCAACGTAAATTAAATATTTAGAGTTGTCAATTGTTATGTAAGCGGTAAGACATAGGGATTATAAAATACCTTGGTTAGGCCTCACTCTGCCTTATTAGCAGGGTCGACCCAGAAATTTTGGATGCCATGTGCGATATTTTAAAATGATGCCTCTTTCATGAAAACAATAGATATATTTCAATAATATTATATCATTGCAAAATTATGATATTTAAATACTGTTTATTTTTTTAAATGTTGTGAATAAGAAAATTATAAATAAAGTTCAAAAATACCTTCCAAATTTCATCAAAATTCATGTCATCAACAAAGAACCATCTAGGTCCCTAAATGTTTCATGTAACTCCATATGAGAAAACCTTTAAATAAGAAACAT